GTATAGTATACCTTGCGTCTCCCCCCCCCCCCCCGGAGAACCTGGGCCCCGAGTTACTCTGCAGCCACCTTTTGGAGGTTTGCTGCAGGAGGCCACAGTTCCAATTAAATTGCTACAGTGAGTTTCGGTCCTGTCCCAATTAGGTTTTATTTGCTTCCTTGGGCTCTATTGTATTCCACCTGCCTGGCCATTCTATGGAAAGTGGGCAGCTTAATTGAGAAGGCGGGTGGCCCAGCATTTCAAGTAACCCCTGTGGTGCTTCTATCAATAGAATCCACAGCTACAATCAGCTGTTTTTGTCCTTTAATAGAACAGGCTGGGCTTGTGCCTGGTGCAAACATCTGTGTTGCCCTTGTAGTCAGACCAGGATCCGTTCTTCGCTGCGCTCGTTCGATACCCTAACAATACCGTCACACCTACAGCCATGGGGCACGGCAGAGACTGAACGGCTTCCAACGACCCTCGTCTCTTCGGATGAAATGATTTAACCTCTTGGTTTTTGCATTTGGGGGACGTGGCTGCCCGTTCCCTGCCCAGCTGGAGAGAGTCCGCTCCGGGTTGGGAGACGTTGCAGAACGTACGTTTGGCGAATTCTTCGCGTGGGGGCTCTGTGCGAAGCCCGCCCGGCGGCCTCGCGGCCCGTTTGGATGAGCTGTGATGGGGAGGCTCGACAGCGGCCGTACGGGGTTGCTGAAACGTTGTAGCGAGGCTCAGCCATTTTGTAAAAGCCACGAGGAGCCCCGTGGCGCCTTGGAGACTTACAGATTAGGGCTCTCGGTTGTTTTCTGCAGATGCAGACTCGCACGGCAACCTCTCGGAGACGTCGCCCCTGCTCTGGGTGTTGGCGTTTTAAGGCAAACTCAACTCTGGCCGGGAGTCGCGGAGTTCTGGGCATGCAGGCCTCGCTTCCCAGCGCCTTTCCGTTAACCCGGCTCCTCCTCTTTGGCCCACTTGCTGCAACAGGCCCTGACCTAGCTTGTAGACTCCTGGGGTCTGTCTAGACTGCATCGCTCTGTCGGGAGAGGGATGCAGATTAGGCAGGTCGACATGGCAAATGAAGCGGGGATTTAAATATCCCATGCCTAATTTGCATAAAAATGGCCGCCGTGTTTGCCGACTCAGCACTTTGTCCGCAAAAAGAGGTAGTGTAGAGGGGGATCTGTCGAGAAAATGGCGGCCACTTTGATGCAAATTAAACACGGGATATTTAAATCCCCGCTTCATTTGCCATGTCGACCTGCCTAATCTGCATCCCTCTCCCGACAGAGCGATGCAGTCTAGACAGACCCCGTGGGACGGGAGCTCTCACTCCGTTTGCACCTACTCCAGACCGTGATGGAGAGACTCCAGGTGCCAGCGGAGCATTGATGATGGGTACTGCTTTATCCCCATCAGACTGGCTTCCTGGGCAGCTTCGTGGACACTGAAAGGACATGACTGTCACTTTTCCCTGTAAGCAGAGTGCTTGTGTGCACCCAGCTAATTGGCAGAGCACCCACAGCTGGCAGCATGGGTTTCTCCTGGTGGTGCACATCGGCACATGCCTTGGTGCACACAACACAATTTATTCTGCACCAGGGTGAAAAAAAACCAGAGGGGACATTGGTGTGCGGGGGCAGAGCTCAAGACCTGCTGTCCATTATGTAATTACTTTGAGGTAACTAATCTGTCCCTGCTACGGAGCTGAGTCTAGCACTTTTTCCCCAAGGAGAACCTCTGGCGGGGAAGGTAGATCTGTCGGTTATCCAGGTAGGCGAAGAGAGCTACGGGAACCCCTCTCACTCCGAAGGGGCTGGGTCCCTTACATCGGAGCTCAAGGTGCTGCCGGGGGTTTGCCTGGAAACACTCTCCTCCCGGGACGGAGGGCACTTTACCTGCTGCCTAGAAACTGACAGTCTGGCCCCCTGCGTGTGGATAATGCATGAGCGGGTGGTTGACAGTCGCTCTATGGAGCTTGTTCAGAGCAGTGGCCTACGTGGTCCTCCTGTCTGTGGGTTGTCGTGGTCCCTTCTCCTTTTCTCCCTGCGCGTCCCCAGATCCCCCTCCCCCGGATACCAGCAACAGTTCCTTCCTAAGGACATGAATTGCATTCCAAAGATTGCTGCTTTTGCTGCTATCCCACTTCATGGCGCTGGGTCGACTGGCCGACCTGTTCAGCACAGTATTGCTGGCCTGGGGCACACATCTGAGAAACGTGCACGAGCGGTGACTCCAAACGGACGTCACCAGCAAACGCATCCACCGCCTCATGCTGCAGCCCTCTCCCTGCGGTCTGATGGTGTCTCTGCCGTAGCCTGTGAAGTTCCTCTGTTGCTTTCACTTCTCAATACCAGCTTCCCCTGCTCTCCCGCTGTGTCTCTGCCCGGGGCGGTGCATTAGGGAACATCCGTGTTCTGGTTCAAAGCTGTCCCCTCGTGCCTCCGGGCTGGGCTCTTCCTTCCTGGCGATGGGGTGAAGGGAGGTTTGAAAGAAAGCCCCAAACTTTTGAGGTTTGCCCCTCACTTCCTCATTGAAAAGGAAGTGAAAGTGGCTTCACTCTTCTTTCTGACCAGGTTTTGCATAGAGGGCCGTCTTCGGGATGGGGGGACGGAGCTTGGCCTTATGAAAAGAAAATAGTCTCGTTTTTCTCTCTCTCCTGGTTCCAGGCAATACTTTAAAGCGGCCTCTTTACAGAAAGCACGGTGTTTAGCGGCTCAGGCATGCTGCTAGCTTCTGATGAGCGTCCAGATGGAACTAGTGAGGCTTAAAAAAGCGAGTGGTCCTATAGCACCTTAGAGACTAACAAAAATGTGTAGCTGGTATCATGAGTTTGGGTGGGCACAGCCCACTTCGCTTTTGTGAGTACAACCTACTTCTTTAAGTGAATGGCATCCAGGGTACAAGTAATTAGCAGAAGAAGAGAGGGTATGGGGAAGGAAAGACAAAGAAAAAATAGAAAAAAATATTGTCAGTTACAGTGTCTGTGCTAAATGAGGCTAATTGAGTGGGTTGTAAGCATCTGATACTTTGATGTCATTTGGATGCTGACTAGAACGGCCCATCCAGTTCATGTCTTTTTGTTCAGGCCCTGTGGAAAGGTGTCAGATTTGCATCTGAAGGCCAGTTCCGGGTTTCTCTCTCTAGTTGGTTCCTGAAATGACTTTGCCAAAGACTGGCCACTTTGAAATCCATTGCTGAGGGCCCAGGCAGGTTAAAATGCTGCCCAACCGGTTCCCATGTCTGGTGTCTGATCGGTGCCCATGTGTCCGTTGGCGCAGAGACTGTCCGGTGTGGCCGATATCCCTGGCAGAGGGGTGTTGCTGGCACTTGCTGGCATAGATCCTATTGGAGGCCATGCAGTGGTACGCGCCCATGATGTGGTTCTGTCTTGCGCTGGTGTCGCTTTTGTAGCTGTGTGGACAGGGTTGACACCAGAGTGTATTGCAGGGGGGCTCTTGGGGGGGTGTGTTTGAGGTGTGGGGCGCGGTTGCTAGTGAGATACGTAGTTTGTGGACGTGCTCTTCCATATGCTGCTGCTTTTGCAGGCTCCAGCCCGGCAGCCACACTTGGCCTGAGGGTCTCTGCCCTTGACAACAGGCTGCCAACGATTGGCAGAATTCGGTTTGTGTTTGGACCTTGCGACTCTTCTCTCAAGCTTAGGAATGCAGATTCGAGAGCCCCCTCTCTGGTCCCAGCTCCTGTTTTCTGGTGCTGCAGTAGGTTGGGTCTCCACACTCCTCCTCGGTGGCAGGAGAGGGGGCCCGCTCCTCTCTAAGGAACTGTGGTCTAGTGGTTAAATGACTGGACCCAGACTCAGGACGTTTCGCTTGGCTCTGTCGGACTCCATGCCTCCTCGTGGGCAAGTCGCTTCCTCGGCAAAAGGGGGATGATCAGTTGGGTCTGCTTAGACTAACTTCATTAGGGCAGGGAGTGTCGTTTACATCTGGCCTGGACAGATTCGGGTGCCAGGGGGCCGCTATCCTGGGTTGAGCCCCTTAAGGGCTACTGTAATGCAAACCACGGAATGACGGCACTCCGCTTGGATTTTAAGCTCTCGTGGTTGTGGGAAAACACCAGAGTTGTTGACTCGAGTCCCACAACTTGAACTCGAGTCCGACTTAAGTCGCCGAGGTGACTCGACTTGAGACTCGACTCGGGTTCGTTGTTTGTGACTTGAGACTCGTTAATTTTGTTAAATCGTCTCGGTAAAAAAATTGTCCGAAAATGCCGATATTGATGGCTTGTACAAAAGTGACTTGACATTTTTGAAATTAAGACTTGAGACTCGACTTGGGGCTTGACTCGAAAGGGACTTAGGGACTCGAGACTCGACTTGAGACTTGAACTGTAGTGACTTGAGACTCGACAATGATGACTTGAAGACAACACTGGGAAACACGTTCCAAATATGATCCCTAAAGTCTCAAGCCGGAAGGGGGGAATTCCCGCCTGCTCCGTTTGTGTTGTTGGAGCCTGACTCAGGCTTTTGCATGTTTGCAATTGGCAACACGGGTTGAACCTCTCTACACGGGTTGACCCTCCTATGGGAGGTCAATGTTGTCTAGCAGCATCACCAACACTTCCCCTGATGCTGGACTCTTAGACGACATTTCGGGGTCAATCAGAGCCAAAGAACAGCCCAGAACTCTGAGCGCCAGGATTGGGGGCTGGAAACACTTTATGGGACTGTGGGAAACTTGGCCACACCCATGATAAGTGGACATCTGGCTAACTCAAATGTCGCTGGACCACGGATGTTGCCAGGCCAGAGTGTGCCGGACTAGAGAGGTTCCACCTGCACTCATTTTCAAGAGTAAGTTCTCCCCTGTTTTGTGCTGTGAATACTACAGAGATTTAGTACTCTTGATACCTGGGTAACTTACTGGCTGTGTCTAGACTGGCCGCTTGAATTTCCGCAAGAACACTGACGATCTCATGTAAGAAATCAGTGCTTCTTGCGGAAATACTACTCTGCTCCCGTTCGGGCAAAAGTCCTTTTGCGCAAAAGGGCCAGCTGAGATTTGTTTTCCGCAAAAAAGCCCCGATCGCGAAAATGGCTATCGGGGCTTTTTTGCGCAAAAGCGCATCTAGATTGGCCATGGACGCTTTTCCGCAAAAAGTGCTTTTGTGGAAAAGCATCCGTGCCAATCTAGACGCTCTTTTCCGCAAATGCTTTTAACGGAAAACTTTTCCGTTAAAAGCATTTGCCAAAAATCATGCCAGTCTAGATGTACCACTATGTTTTCTAGAACCGGTCTCTTTGGCCATGGCGCGTTTGCCAGTTCGCGCCGTGCTCTTTGAGTTCAGTGTAATGATGCGTTTGGTTCCCGACAGACCCTCGGAACTGGAAGGGCTTTTTGCAAAGGGCAGGGTGAAGGTGAGCTTTATAAAAGCAAGGCGGTGAGGAGCGGAGACGCAGCCTACAGCACGTACGTTCTGTGAAACCTTGGAAGCGATTGTCCCTTTCAAGGGCAACTTGCTTCTGAACTGCATGGCTCTTGTCGGCTTGTTCCAAGCCTGGGGAGAGAAAGCAGGGTTTGATGTGTAGGTTATCGGCATGGCTTTTTGGGGGTGCTCTGTATGGCAGTCGGGTATCAA